CCGCGGATGGGCGAGAACCATAACTCGACGCCGACTCCCTTTTTGTCTTTGTTTTACGTGTCATCGCGGAGGCCTCAGACGGTGTTCTGCGGGCTCTACAACATTTCATCATCCTCACATTATAATGAGGCAATGCGCCGCTCTACTGTATGTCAGTTTGTATCACTTCGTATCATTAATACATCGGGCGGCCCGCGTTGACTGAAATATCATTCTCAAACTTCAATGTGCTTCATTAAGGCAGGGAATCCACTGACAGGAAATGTATTCTCTGGGCACTTCTGCTTTCATCTGCACCGGAGGAATTTCTCTCTCTCTCTCTCTCTCTCTCTCTTTCTGCGTGTGTGTGTGTGTGTGTGTGTGTGTGTGTGCGTGCGCTCGTATATGCATGCATGTCAAGACAAGGAAACAGAAAGAAAGGAGAGGGGAAAGATGGAGTGCACGCACATCAGCCTGAGGTTGATTATCATGGGGTGAGTGGCAATTAATGTAGCACTAATTAGAGAGGCTTTTATGTGTGGAGGGCTGAGAAGGGGCTCCTGGTGATCTGTGAAACGGCAGGAACGGTGGCGCCGAGAACATAAAACGCAGCGAGCGTGCGCGCCCCGACGAACCACAAGCCACGCGCGGATGGCGCGATGTGTCAATTAGCATCCAGCGATGTGCCGCAGGCTCCTCCTGAGGTGCGTTCGGGTATGTCGACATCAAATAGACAACAACACTAAAAATACACACCAAACAGGGATGCGAGCAGATTACTACCTTCCAACCATTCTCGTGAGCTTGTTTTATCTAATCCCCACTATGTCATCAGTTTATCTCAAAACAAGCAGGAACTGATAACTATCCTCCAATCAGTCTCCTCAGCTATATTTATGATGCGGTGTCTTTGTTTTGTAGATTAGAGTCACAGAAAAAGTTCTTTGATGAAGAAATTATAAAAATATTTTAATGGCAGCCATTATCGTCACAAGCGAGATGGATTTTGATGGATATCCCTAACATCCCTCAAAAAGATTGGTACCCATCAATCATTCTTCTCTCCTCCCATCGCCCTCCCCCTCCTCTTCCCCGCAGTGTCTAGTTGTTGTTCATCATCTCCATCACCCGCAGCCTCCCCTCACCATCCTTGGCTGTGTAATCTAGGGGATTGTGTGCTCCCTTGGTGTGAGAGGTGACGGCTACAGCAGGATGAGCGTGATAATCTGCCACACTGGATTACAGCCTAATCTCTAATCTCTCTGGCCCTCCTCCGTCCGGGGACCCCCCTCCACCGCGCCAATGTTATTAATCCGAGCCTGCCGCTGCAACAGCTTAGCTTTGCCCATTTTGATTTCCCGGCCTCCATCCGGCACGTAGAGCAATAGGAGTTGAAACAATGGATTTGTTGTGACGCAGCACTCGGAAGTGAATTCCTGTGAACCCTGCGCGCTCTATCGGAGGATTTAGCTACTGATGAGATCGTTAATCCTTGGGAATGTGAGGATTCATCAAGAATAGTTGCTTTAGGGATGTCCCAGGTTGCCTAAATTGCAGCGGGCTGCAGTTTGGCTTGCACATTCTCCACATAAGTGCTGAACATGGGCTCCAACGGCATCCCAAGTAATACCCATCAGGGCCAGACTAAGCGTGAAGGTTGCCTTGTCCTGCCTGACTTCATGACCCGGAACACTCACAATTAATGTCCCATGTCATGGGGTTAAATTGCTGTCAGTAATTCCTCGGGCTAGTTGAGAGGAGGCCCGAGTGGAGGAAGGCGATTGCAGTCACGTACGGGCTAAGAGGCAACATGATTAACCAATTACGTAGCCTTTATGACAAAGGAGTAATCAGCTCAAGGCTTATCTTGCGACTGATGTCTCTCTATCTATCGTATCGGGAACATTCATCGTGCCAGTTGTGTGCGTTATGTATGCAAGCCGGAGTTCTGACGCAAAAAGGCTGAATGGAATCCATGCCAATGGATATATAGTCTCAACATATCCCAGTCATATTGGCTAAATACGCTTATTACATTTCAAGAGGATTTTGGAGTCATCCCTCTATTTCAATAATTGTGCTCCCATTAAATTCTGTAGCAGAAACGGTGGCGTCCGTTGAGAATTTCTATTAAATTAAGTTTGCAGAAATGAGAGAAACAGAAGTACAATGAGCTGAATATTCTAAGGAAAACTCTGTGACCTGATTTCACGTGTATGTATTTGAGAAATCCTCTGTTTGTGTGTCTGTGTTGCATTTAATTGAAGTAACTCACAAAACAGAGCCTGTTTAGTTAATCGCTAATGTAAGCAGACCAGGCCACTTGAGGTGCCTTTCATGACTTTGGAATGCAGACCTCTGACATGCAGTACTCATGACATCCAATCACAGGCAACAATATCACGTCCATCGCTCAAATATTATAATACATACATAATACAGCAGAAGCCAAACTAAAGAACTTTCGGCAGCATGTTGTGGAGCAGAGGTGAGCTCAGAACCAACTAGAGATGCACTGTACCGCTCAAGCTCTCACAATGGCTACCGGATGGGAGTTTTGGTTCGTAAACCCTAAGCCGACATGGTGAGGAACATTCCATTTACCAATGTTGGCATTCCCAAACACCAAGTCACTAATGAGAGAAAAGTAACTATGAGTTGTATTGTGCTGTTTAAGTGACATACCTGCATCCTTTAGATGTAAATACTGTTTTAAACCGAATATGCTGGCTGCAGGCTGCACATTAGGCTACAGGTTCAAAGTTATTTGTGGTTCAATGTCAATCAACATGCTGATTTAAATAGTTTTAACTTCTAGAGCACTGCGAGTTGAAGTTAAGAGATGAACTGATGCAGCAGAAGTTATCAGCTTTTTTTATGCCCGTCATTCATCCCTTTTTTAAAAACCTGGCACTTAACAGTGAATAATGATGTCAGAGATGGGTCATGTAATGCTAATTGTGGCTAATATCGCAGCCTCGAGCTGCTAGCGTCAAGCAGTGATGGGATTCTTGTTGTTTTTATCTATTCTTCAGGTTTAGCCTTAGCAGGACTTATCAGACTCAGCCACAAACCTGTTTATAACGACTATTTTCACATATGCAGCTGTGCTCCCCAATACCAGTAAACAAACTTTGATGTGTAAAGTCAGTGAAGTTTCCCCTGAGACGGGAAAAAATATGACCTCAGATTTTAATGAAGCAGTAAAGGTAGCTCGTGTCAAAATGTAAAAACCCTCCTGACCAGCACCTTGTTAAAGTCGAGGTATGGGTTACCATGGTAACTTGCGTCTTGATTTACTAATCTCCCGAAAATAAATTGTAATTAGCCTAACATTTTAGTCCTTAGTCTGCATTATACAACAGCCTGCACATTTGACTAATTGTCAAATAAATAAACTAAAAGGGGCCACGCTAAGTGTTCATTCGATAGACATAATATACAAAAGTGAAAATGACTGTAGAGGACATCTGTTATCATGATCGTGTGTGTGTGTCAGCTCACCTTTGTCGCCGGCGTGTGTGTTCTCCGGGTTGAGTGTGTCCAGCAGGTGAATGGAGCTGGTGGGCCTGCTCTTGCTGCGGTCCTCCTGCTGATGGTCGGCCGAGCTCAGGCCGTTCTCATACAGCTGGCTCTCGCCGTGCCGCAGATGCCAGGTCAGACCTAACAGGTGGACCGCTACGCACACATACGCACAAAGACATGCAAACACAGGCAGAGGGAGAGGAAGAAACAGGGAGAAAATAGCTTTATTCCAGGCACCCAAAGAGGTGCGTCCCTACCTGCTTCAAAGTTCACACTTTTCGCTGCACTTTATGTGCTCAATGGTGGACAATTAGTAAACACACAAAGAACACACACATACAAACCCCTAACACATTTGCATCCAGTGGACCCGCACGCACGCACACACGCGTAAGCTGACACAAAACGCGGCAGCGGCGGGCAATTAAGGCAGATCTTCAGAGCTGGAGCCCAGGGCTGGCATTAAAGCGCTAACACACTCTTTTATGCATGACTAATGATGCTTTGAAAGCTGCTGCCGATTCACGATCCATATGGGCCTTTTAAACAACAAAGCGTATGGGAGGAGGGGAGGATACTGGATTTCCCCTCCCACTCATAAAACTGTTTACAGGGACAACAATTCGGCATGCCGTTAAATAAAAAACTACTTACACCTGGCCATTAAGGAAATTAATTAGCGCCCTGCAAGGCTGTCAATAAAATGTTTGGTAAAACATTCACCTTCCCTCTGAACAATCACCGGGTTCCGTTCATGCGCCGCTTTCGCTTTTCGCTTTAAAGAATCGGATAAGTAAACGGCCCTTTGGCGAAGCGAAAGGGAACAAGGCAAATGCAATAAATCATTGCGGGTTTTTCTCTCCTCTGACACATTCGGAGCATCAAACAAAGAGCGAAGCCTCAAATCACAAAGTTGCCATGTGCTGGTGGCAGTCGGAGGACGGCGGTTGAATGCAGATCAAGGTAAGGAACTTCTAAAGACTTCAAACATCCCGGCTGTCTGCTGATTGCTGACACCCCCCCCCACAAAAAAAGCACTTGACACGCCCATGCCGACGCTCGCGCTATAATGGCAATTAAAATGGCGTGACCGAACTTTGGTCGCGCAGGTACGGCGCTCGCACCTTCGCTCGTGGCCGCCTGACTGAAGAACACCTAATTAAAACACCGGATAGTTCAAAGCCAGTTTGCAGTTACTTCATGTTGCAGAAGCACAGACAAAAAGAAGAGAAAGTAAATCTATGACGAGCTCAGAGAGTGGAAGCCAATTTGGCCCCGAATCATCACACTTTGACCCCTGACTCTCCCATGAGCTGCACTCCTCTCTCACTGACTGACCGCGAGGGAGACGCCCTGCATCATTTAGTGCAAACTAATTGAACTGTGAGCCTGTGGCGAAGCACCACACGGACACGGGCAGATTCCCCACATCACCGGGAGGTTTTTCCTTTCTATTTGATTTCCCCGTCACTGTAGTTTTCTCATTTCCCTTTCATGTGCGTGGGTGTGGCAGGGGTGTTGGTTCTTATTAGCACATGTGAAAGTAGTTGTCATGACTCATTCCGTTGAAAGGGGAGGGGGGGGGGGATTGAATATTCAATTTAGTTTAGTCTCCAGCAAAGTCCCTTCTGGTTGTCTGGTGCTGTCGTACCAGTACCAGGGACTGGTGGGAGAAGGTGGAGAGAAAGGCCCAGATAAAAACATGCTGACGATGAATCCCATTTTGTGTACGCTGATAGGAGCTTTAGAGACAATCCCACGGAGATTCCCTTCAGACCTCATTCCGTTATCGCCTCTCTTCCATTAGGACGAGAACACTGTGATCCTCGCGGCGCTGATCTCCGCCAGGTGTGTCTGCAAATGAGCGAACGCGGTGAACTTGAGCCAAGATTACATCCGTGTGCGGATGGAAATTGATCGGGAATGACGGGCTTGTTTTGTTCTCATGAGCCCTTACTCCAGCGGTTCCAATCCGACCCCTCGTCCTCTCGATCTGTCGCCCCCCTTTTCCTGCTGTCCCCCATTAAATAAAAGGCAAGCATGCCAAAGTATATATTTTAGAAGGGGAACACTATAGGCCAACGTAGGCGTGAACATTCCTAATCCGTAGAGTTCGGTTGTTGAGTTGTTGATCCTGCAGGCCAGTTTAAAGGGGAATGGGGAGTCGATCTAATGAATCGCCGCAGCCACGAGAGGTCCTCGAGTTATAAACGAAGGCAAAGGAAATATTATGCTGATGGGACCAGTAGTATGTGGGATTAGCGGCGGACAGACACACTCACGCATGCCCGAGGCGACCGAACGCATAATCTCCTCTCAGGCTTACGCAGGACGGCGATAATTAAACATGAAATATTGTGCCGCACCTACAAATGTAGGGTTGTGCGCTCCACCGCAGTTTGCCTGCATTAAATTACGCGGTGGAGTGAAACAACCTCATCAGAAGGTTATTCCAAAGAAACGATACGTTTAGAATTTCCGCCATTCGCTCCCTCGTGCTCCATCCTCTGATTATTTCCTCTCAAATGGATTGCTTTTCTCCAGTGCCCCCCACCCCTCTCCACCCGGCGCCTACGTTAGCGTAAGTGTTAGCCACTCCTGTAATGACTCGGCGACGACGGTCCTCCCTTCTCCTCCTCACCACTCCAGCCCTCCTCAGCAGCCCCTCAGACCCTCCTCATCCCGCTCCTGCTCATCAGCTTCTCTCTCGCGCTCTCTTCTTCCATGGCTGTTGACCTTTTGCTTGAACACTTAGCATCTAGGGCCACAGAGCACGAACACACACACACACACACACACACACACACACACACACACACACACACACACTGAGGCGAGGAGAGTCAAGGACCTGGTAGCAGGATGAGAAGAGGGTGGTGGTTGAGAGCGCAAGTTTGTGTGTGTCGGCTCTTGTGATTTTGAGGGGCCGATGTCCTCACGGCAATATTAAGAGTAGAGATGGGATGTTTGTTTTTTTCGTCACTTGAACCAAGTTAATTCGGGGACTTTCAAAACGGGGACGTTAAGGAGCGACCGGCAAGGACAACCAAGAGTCTCCCTCAATCGCTGGAGGTGACGGCTTGAATAGAGTACAAAAGATGAGCATCTGCTGAAGGTGAAGGTTCGTTCTTAACCGAAGAAAGAACATTCGTTAACAGAAATATTGAATAGAATTCTAACTCAAGGTCTTCTTACTTACTTTTTCCAGGTGGAATGCAAAGACTGAGTTTGAGATTGAGTCACTGTTGTCATGAGAGATATTGTTGTCGAAAATGCTGGTGAGTTGAATTTTGTGCGTTAGCGTCCCTTCGGTTAGATAAACGGTTCAAATATAGAACCATGGACAGATTCTGCCTTTGTATATGGACCGAGTAGCACAGGATTTTTCAGAAATAAATAAAGATAATTCAAACTGATGATGATAACATGGCAGCGGGGGCAGTGTACACTTGTCAAGGAAAGGTTTTCTATGTTTTCTTGTTTTGGACAAAAATGTATATTGCTGATTGTATAGAAACTGACAGGAAGGGAAGAGGGTCCAACTAGTCCAGGTGAAGTGGGACAGGGGACCAGCAGTAATGACTTGGCTGTCACATTGTCAACATCATTAAAAGAACAATCTAACATTGAAATGTACAGTTGCAAAAAATACATAAAGAATCAGCCGATCACTTCTTGCTTTAAAGAATTCTAGAATTTTTTTTAAACCTTTGCAAGGCCACGAAAAAAATTACATAAACGCGCTCATAAGAGGACACGCTTTAACTTTCACCCCCCAATCCCCATCAGTCTATCCATCCCTCTCTAGTGTCCATCTTTCTCTCCGGCACTCCTGCAAAAAACACGCACAGCAATCAGAAGCTGGAGAGAGCGAGAGCGAGAGAGAGACTCCGAGTGAGTCCAGTCATTATAAGGGCAGCAGCAGCGGCGGCGGCGCAATGGCGACAGCGAGCAGCAGTGCGGCGAGCTAACGGGCCAGAGCTCTCGCGCGCATGAATCATTGATCAGTGTGACAGTGAGACGACTGCCAGACGTAAGAGGACTGCACAACTGTGAGAGAGGGAGGGTGGGGGCTCTGTTGCTGAGCCCCTCGCTGGCTGCCGGCTTCCCCGCCGAGGTGGAGAAGTAGTCGAGAGAGAAGGGGGGTTGGTGGGGGGGCCTTGATGTAGCTTTTTGCAGGCTGACTCAAACTACCACGGAGAGAAATGAGAGAACAGACGAATCCAAGCTGGTGGGAAAGGACCTCTCCTTTGCGCCTCGTCTTTTTGAACAGCTGGGATGCAAAAGGCGTTGGGATGCCACCCGTGTCCTTTTGTGTAATTTTTATTGCTATAAATGTCGACTTTGAGCATAGGGATTAGGCATGGTTCCTACGTAGCAGACTTTTCATTGAGTTGAAGCAAAAATAGTAGCTTGCAGTTGCTGCCACTATTGTTGGTGTCGGGCATTGGTGTGTGTGTGTGTGTCTCTCCAGATTAGATAGAAGTGATTGCGGGCACCAGTGATGATTAGGTTTCACACTCGGGGAAGGAGAAGGAAAGGAAAAGGAGGGGAGAGAGAAAATTGTGGTGTTGTTCTGTGTGTGTGTGTGTGCATTCCTGTGAAATGCCTACGTTACACTATACACGCCGTTATCTGGTGTTTGTCGGGCTGCGGGGCACAATGGGTGTGATTGACTGTGGATATACTGTCTTATCGATAGCTATCACAGCCAAGGTAGCACTGCAGTTGGTTAAAAATGATTTATCAATACCCTCGCACAAGCGAAAACACACCCCGGCTGGGTGGACCTCTTGGCCGGCGCCCATAGAGAACCCGTCAACTGTATTCCAGCTAACCACCACCAACACTTTCCAGAGCATCAGTCATTCGACTTTACCACGCACTTTAGCGCGTACAGTGAAAGCAATTTCTCACCCCGGGTTCTGCATGGCTGTGTCAGCCTCTAGCTAAGCCACGACTTCTGAGGGACGGGAGAAAGAAGAGAGCGGGGGGTGGGGGGGGGGAACCAGGGTATTCCAAAAAAGGGAGGAGAGATTCAAAAGGGGGCAAACAAGTGTGAAGGTGAGCGAAGGAGAGGGACTTCAGAGACAACAAAACAAATGTGTGTCTAAGTCGGCGTTAAAGTGGAGACTGAGAGAGCCCCCCCCCTC